ATATATATCGTCATAAGATATATAATTAACAAGGAAAAAAAAACGAACAGAATACAAAAAATTTTGTTTTTTATTTTATCCGACTTCTACTTACGAGTTTACCAATTCGAATGGCTAAGAAAAATCTTCATAAACATAAATATTTCAATGAAAAAGAAAAAAACAAAAGAAGAACGTGACGGAATGTTTTTTTGTAGAAAATATTTTATCGACTTGAAATAAATAAAAATATTTTTTTTGATAGAAGAAGTAAAATATTTGTTTATTATAAATCATTCATTCATAGCCTGTTATATCGATGTGATGATATTTTTTTGGTTAACAATTGAATATTATTTCAATGAGTAGGTTTTATTTTATAAATGAACTAAAAATGTGTAATCAATAAATATATAGTTTGACTTGAATTCATCAATTTAATGTAAAACCTTTATATACACATTTTCATGAAATGGTTCAATGAATTGAAGAACAATTCTTTGTTTATATTTGCAGAATTTTGTTTCATCATTTGTTGAAATATTCGATCAAATAATTTTGTATTTATTAACTCATAAAGAATTTGAAATGATGTTTTTGTTTTTTCATCTTATGTAACTTACCATATTGAATTTTAGATGAATAGGAAATGAATATTTTATCTTAATAATTATATTTTCAAACATGTCAATATGTAAATAATATGACATGCAATTATAACAATTTAGAAAAAAGAAATATATATATATATATAAATTTTAAATACCTTAACCATATTATATTCTGTAAATTAATTAAAGAAATTTCATCATAATATATAACGATACAATTCATATTGTAAAATAATACAAATAAATATAATATTTAAACATTTATAAAAGAATTTTTTTTTTTTATAAGATAAATTTTTCACTCATATATAAGTTTGTTTTGTTTTTTTCTCTTTAAGAATTTATAAACTATACTGACAAACCCATTTCTATTCTAGGTTGTTTCTTTTTTTGTTTTATCATTACGTAAACGAAATTAAAAAAACAAAAGAAAAATCATTTGTTATGAATCTGAGTGAAATTCTATATAAAACCGAAAGAAAAAGAAAAGAAACGCACACACACATACGAGACGAATGACAAAACAAAAAGAAATTTCATATCGATCAACGTCCTACTGTATACACAGAATGAATAAGAATCAAAAAAAACAAAAGCAACACGCACAAACAAAAAAGAAAACTGATGAGAAAAAAAAACAAAACAATGTTTAAAAATTTTAGTGCATGTGTAAGTATGAAAAGAAAGCATCAACAATAGTAATTCATGGTCGCCAAAGACCAGATTGACGAACAGCTTGTTGAAGTAATGCTTGTGCACGACTTATCTGTTCTGGTGTTCCTTCAATTGTTATTATTCGATCACCACCACCTGTACCAGTAGGAATTGGTTGATCATCAATAATAATATTTGCATTTGTTGCCTGACGTATTTGTTGAATTTTTGTACCACGTGGACCAATAATTGCGCCTACAAGTTCATTGGGTAAAGTTACCTATATGAAAAAAAAATACCGTATTAAGAAAATAAACAAAAAATAACGTACACGTGTTGATGTAAGTAATACAGGATTCGGAGGACATCGAGGACCTAAACCTGGTCCACCACCATATGGTACATCAACAAGAGGAGGTAAAGGTTGTATAGGATACATACCACCACGTGGTCCATTTGGTGGATATGCTCCTCGTGGATTATATCCAACACGATTATCAAGACCACCTGGAGGTGGAAAACCGCCTAAAAAGTTTTAATTTTGAAAAAAAAAAAAAACAAAAAAATTCAAATAATCAAACCATAGTCATTCACAGTATATATATCAAAATTATGTGGATCATATTGAATTAATAATGTACCTCTTGGTTGTTGTGATGATGAACTCATCAATGAATAGATATGCTAAAAATCAAACAAAAATATATTGATTGTTTTTTTGTTTTCTATTCATACTTTAATACATTCAATAATATCATCAATTTTTCCACGTAATGATATAACTCGTTCATGACTTAATGGACAACATAATGAAAATACTTTTATATCAAGATTATATGTTTGTCGTAATTCTTTAACATGTTGTCCACCTTTACCAATAATAGCTCCACAATAAATTTGATAAACAAGTATACGAATTTCTGATGGTATATCACCTATTATTTGATTATCATTATTCAATTGATTTTGATCCGAATTTATTCCTATATTATTTATATTTATATTACGTCGTCGATTAAATGATGAAAGACGTGAACTATCAGTTAAAACAGGAATTATTTGTTGTAAAGCATCAAAACATTGATCATGTTCACCATTTATAATTAATACACGTTCAGGTGATGCACAATCAGGTACTTGAATTATTGTACGTGGATGATCAGCACGAAGTTTTTGTATTGATGAACCACCTTTACCTAAAAAAAATAAAATGAAATAAGAAAATTTTTTTTTTTATTTTAAAAAAAATTCATATACCAATAACAGCTCCAGCATCACGAGAAGTCATTAATATACGAATTTCAATACCGGTTGATGATGAATAAGGATTACTGCTATTGCTATTCATACGTCGATTATTATTATTATTATTTTGATTTCCACTTGTTATACTAATACTATTATGATTATTATTATTTGATACTTGACCATAATCATCATCGGGCGATGTCATCTTGTTTTTTTTTTTTTGAAAAGAAAAAAAAAAGGGGAATATTGGGTTGGGATAGGCACTAAGACCTGATAACTATGTGACGGCAAACACGATTAAATAAGTCTTGAATAAAAGAACATAAAGAAAAAAAATATATATTTATATATATTTAGTTAATATTTAAATTTTGAACATGACAAAAAAAAAAGAAAATAAAGTAAAAGAATAGATATTTGTAGTTCAAATAAACATGATCTTTTATAACACGACAATGCATTTTACTTAATACACATTCATAATTTGAACCTGTGGACCATTGAAAGAAATATGAGACAGAGGACGCTTTTAATTTATTATTAATATTATTATATTTTATATATTAATTTTCTATTTCTTAATTTAAAAATAAAAAAATTTTATTAAATAAAAATTTTTTAAAATTATATTCATTTCTAAAGTAATCACCATAGTAACATTATTTAAAATGTTGTGGTTGAAAGTATTGATACAATTGAAGTTTCACTTGTAAATAATCAGATTTAAATTTAGATAAAATTGTTTAATTCTTCATCATGGAAGAAGATTCACCAGCAGCTGTTGATATTGTTATGAAATATGCAACATATGAAGAATTTCTTGATTCACAAGTTACTCGTTTAGATCTAAGCTATCTTGAAGTATAAAAATAAAGCACTCCACGAAAAAAAAATTTCAATAATTTATTTTATATATTAGGATGAAGAATTAGCTCGACAACTTGTTGAACTTGGTTATCGTGGTAGTGGAGAAGTAATTAAACGAGAAGAATTTTATGCTCGAAAAGCAGCTGCTGAACAATTACTTCTTTCACGACGTATTCAAGCACCGTATGTTTTATTTCAAAAAAAAAACAAAAATCTATTTGAAAACATATTTGATTTACAAAAAACTAAAATAGATTTTATTGTTTTCACTTTGTCTATGACTATGTACAATAGGAATATGTTCAATTAATTGATATATTCAGTTATAAGAGTCATTTTTATATACTGAATAGAATTTTTTATTATTTTTATAGAAAATTAGCCAGTGCAAATAAAGAAATAACTGAACCATTATTACGTGAACTTGCTGATACTGAAGAAGCTAATCGAACAGGAAAAATGACAGTAAATTATTTTTTTTTTTTTTAAAGTCTTTATTTGATTAATTATGTTTTTGTTATAGACAATTATTTTTATTCGTGATCGAAATTCTCGACAACAAGAAATATCTGGTTATATAGATTATGCACATCGATTAAAATCGGAAGATTTTGAAGTATATTTTGCTGGAAAAAAAAAATTATTACCGAAACCAACTGATCTTAGGTAAAGAAATTTTTCGTCTTTTTCAATTCCTACGATGATTTTTCGATCAGCAAAATTATAATCATATAAAATTTTCAGTTCAATATCACGACGTTTTCATAAGATTTTTATCAAACAAGGAGGGCAACAATAATAGGTCTCGACATTGGGCCATCTTCTGATGGTCTAATCTGAAAGAAATACAAAAATTTTAAACTCTGGTATCGAGCTAAACATTTCATATGATTTGAATGTTCTTGGTGTAAAATCGATTATTGAGAGGACGGAAAGTTTTTGAAAAAAAAACTTTGATGACTTTCATTTTTAGTTATTATAATTGGGAAAATCAAATATGTTGTTCAAATAATACACCTAATTTTCAATTAATAACAAATCATCTTGAAGGTCTATTATTTAAAAGTAAACGAGATAGAAAAATAATTATTGTGGATCCCAAAGCTCAATCCTATGGTGATAATACTACACGAAAAGAAATTAAATCGGATAAATATATACAAGCTATTGTTTATCGTCATTCAACTCGTCGTAAAACATAAGCGAAAAGGCACACCCAAATTATTGATTTACTTTTTTTTTCCTTTCATTTATTTTTTTTTTTTATGTAAAATAATAAAACAAAAAATTAAGCACAAATTAAAATATGTTATGATGATAAGTCAAGAAACATTCTTGATGTGTATAGAATGAATGAGGTGACTCATTTCGAGTCCTGATAAACTACATTTGATGTAATACATGTCACGAACTATTCATATGATGAAGCGTTTAGTTAATAATTTGAAGAAACGTTTTTCGATGCAATCAAATCTTTAAAAAAAGTACTTTCGAAGATATCGTGATCTGTTAAATACATATGCAATATTTATTTCTAAAGAGAAAAGTTCATTTCATATTGAAGATATACACAAATAAAAAAATAGATGATAAAAAAAAATAAAATAAAATCTATTGTTCAATTAATATAGGCGTATATGTTCAAGCACTTTTATACATTTTATCAATACGATAATCAGTAAAGAATGCCCAAAGAAAAGCGCAAAAAGCTAAAATTAAAACGCCATTGAAATTACAGATACGTTTCCAAAATGGACTTTCAGGTGCTAATGGTGGCATTTCTGGCACAATTGCTATTCTATTATTATCTTCACCTTGATGTTCAACTCCACATATCCATGATAAAGCGACTTTTGAATAATATTTCACATCTTTATTTGATGGATCTATATAACAATACTAATCAAAACAAAATAAGATTTTTCTTATTTTCTCTACCTGGATAAAATAGACCAAATTTTCGTATAGCAGCAGCGGAATCAACACGTGATAGCCGACGAATAGGTGATTTGGGTTGAATATGTTTATCTTCAAATGCTGTATCTGCTTTATGCCATCGACCTTGTTTAGTTGGTATTGGTGTTGGTTTAACTGGATTATTCAAATCAAATACATTCAAACCATGTAACTTATAGAAACAAAAACAAAATATTCAACAATATTCTCTTCACTTATTTAATAATATCAAAAACATACACATTGTTCAGGTATTGGTCGAGTGAGAAGACTAACAGTTATTGTAACTAAACAAGTCAATGTAAAAAGTAGAATTGCAAAATATAGAAAATGAAATTTGACTGCTTGTGGACGAGGATCTAGTGATGAATATAGACATGATGGTACTGAATATGAAAATTCCCATATAAAACGTATCAAACCAATAACTAAACCACATATTAAACCCCAAAATGCACCCTAAATAATTTTTCAAGACTAAATTTTTAATTTATCTTTGTTTTTGAATAATACAAACCTCTTCATTAATTCGTTTCGATAGAATTGCTAAAAGATAAATAGCACAAATTGGTGGTGCTAGAAAACTTGTTACTGCTCTAAAAAGAAACAAAAAACTCAATTTTTTTTGCTTTCTACTAAATTTCTTTTCTTACTGAATATAATCAAATAATTTTCCACCTTGTGCTGCTGTTATAATTGGTATCCAAACAATTGATATACCCACAAGTATAACTGTAAAAATTCTTTTAATAAAAGAGAAAAAATAATTTTCCGTTTGTTTTTATTATGTGGTAATTATTTTTACCTTCCAACAATCAGTAGTTCCCATTGTGGTGCGTTTGAGCGAAAACGTTGCCAAATATCAATTGTAAATATAGTTGATGAAGAATTAAATATTGATGTTAATGATGACATTAATGCTGCAATCATACATGCAAGCATAAGACCACGTAAACCATTAGGCATTAATTTAATTACAATTAATGGATAAGCAATATCAGTACATGATGTTTTACTACCACAGACTTGTTCACAAGTTTCAGGAGTTGAACAACCAATTTCATCTTAGATCAACAATTATATATTTTTGTTTTGCAATAAGTGTTTATTTTACCTGGAAAAAGTATTCGTGCAACCATACCAGGAATAATCATAAGAAAAAGAGGTAAAAATTTTAAATAACTAGCAACTATACAACCAGCTCGAGCATGAGTTAAATTCTTAGCAGCAAGTGCTCGTTGAACAATAACCTAAACATTATAAGTAAGTTTCATAAAAAAAAGTCTTCATTTACACTTACTTGATCACTAGAAAAAAGAAAAAGAAAATATTTATTAATTTATTCTTCCTGTGCTATTGTTTATTATTTTATAACTAACCTACACCAATACCAAATACTTAAAATAGTCATACCAATAATTCCTACCCATGGTGGACCATCAGCTGAATCAAGTGGTCGAATAAGACTAAAATAATCTTGTGGTGGTATACCACAACCTGTTTCATTATATAATGTTGTATTAGAAACAGCATATGGATAAAGTTCTTTTATTAATTGTATACCACCAACTCTAACATAACAAATAATCATAAGAATAAAAGCAGATATAATCATAATAATTGTTTGAATAAAATCTGTCCAAATAACAGCTGATAATCCTCCTGAAAAAAAAACACAAATCATATAGAAAATATTCTCTTTTGTTATATTTTATTTAACTTACCACCAATAGTAAATATAGCAGCAAGAAGAACAAGAGTTATAACTGATACATACATATTCCAACCAAGTGCTTGATTAAGAAATATAGCACCAGAATAAAGATCAACAGATATTTTTGTAAATATAGAAAGTAATAAAGCAAGAATTGTAAGATAAAAACGTATTCGATCACCACCAAATCTTTTCTTAAGAAACTCTGGCATTGTATAAACCTAATTGAAAACATGAATACACAAATTAGTAATACTATCTTATCTATGAAAATTCAATCTATTCAAGATTGAGTTTTTGTTTTTTAGCTTACATCAGCTTTGATATAAACAGGTAAAAATATCCAACCGAGAATCATTAATACATAACTAGCCTAAATTTAAGGTGTTCTAGAATATGTATCAAACGTTTGAGTTGTAACATACATTTAACTCGAAACCAGCTACACCAATTCCATTGCTTGCTCCACTACCTATTTGATATTCAAAAATAATATCATATAATTGATCTTTTGTTTGTCATATTAAATACAAATGAAATCATTAAACTTTAAAAATACCTGCAAGACCAATAAAATGTCCACTACCAATGTTGCTAGCAAATAATGATGCACCAACCTTAAATATAGGTAATTTCATCTTTATTTTGAGATGATGAGAAATCATTTCTTACTGGTAAAAATGTCATAGATCGACCTGCTAGAAAATAACCTCCTGAAACAACGACGGATAATAGATTAGAACAAAATTTAAAAATATTCATTGCATACCAACACTCCCACGATTTTTGCATGACGACTAAAATATATTAATAGATGTAATACATTTTTCATTTTTAGTATTTATATGATGCACCAAATTCATACTTCTCACGCTCTTTTTTGTTTACCACTATTTATAAAGTATTGTAATAACTTCAAAAGCTGAATAAGTCAGTGTACGTCCATTTCGAGAAGCTTGAGACTACTTTTTTTTACTCAGCGTAATGAATATCATGGAGTCTTATCTACTGTAGTACAATTGGTGTTTTCAAATGTCTATGCTATAAATTTCGTGTCTCTAAAATGATTTTAAAATGTTTTTTTTTAAAGCTAGTGATGTATTCTGTAGAGTAGAGTAAAGGTAAGAATCTAGTAAGCTAAAGTAAGAAAAGAATGGTACATTCAATGAGGTCATGATAACACAGACATTTCCTATTCAGTTATTCGATCATCCTCAAAATAACTATAAAACGCTACTTATTTTGGAGTGACATCTTCCAGTGCTATTTCCTGAATGGAGCGAAGAAAAACATTTGCTGCACGGAATATACGTGGATCATCATTGGGTATACCAGCAAGTTCATACTTTATATGTATGTATTTCATTAGAAGTTTCAAAAGAATTTAACTTTAATGTTTTGTAATAAAAAACAAAATAAATCAGAAAACCCTGGTGCTATTTACCATTTTCCGACTCTTCTAGCTAGACTAGAATTATGGAAGAGAGAGAAATACACCTCATAGACTACGGGTACATGTTCTGCAATTTAAGCATTCTGCAGTTTAGAATCGCGTAAGAGTAGGGTAAAGATTAGATAGATTTTCTCACACAAACGATAGAGTATGAATAAAGTTTGTTTTGAAGAACTCTAATATAGAGCTGCAAAAGGACTCGAGCGTTTTCAACAAGAAAACTCGATTTTATCATTGAATTAAGTACAATTGAACTAAACAATGTCTATGTCTTATAATTTTCAATCAGATGTTAGAAAACATTTGCTGTGTGACATAGGCGTAAAATGCTATGAGAAGTACTACTTATAATTCATTGAGATCGATTTGCATTTTTTCTTACTATTTATATGAAATATTTGCAATTCCATCATTTCTACTATTTATTTTCAAAGCTTGTGTGTATGAACTTACCCAAATACCAAATCCAATAACTATTGCAAAATACGCAACCAACACTAATATATCAGCCCAATGTAAAGCGACACTGGTGATTGCAGTTACCATATCGATTCGTAATGATTTACTATCAAATGTGTATGGCTGATTTTTTTGCTTTATCTACCTTTTATTATCAAGTTTATGTCAATATTTTTTTTTATAATAACTAGATGATAAGGGTTGTAGTCCATTAGGGAGTATTTAAATTGATGCCTTACATATTTTACTTGTTTTTATTCTACTGTCGAAGTCATGTTCTTGTTCTAATCCTTTTATTTTCTTTGTTGCATAAAGGTTAATAGCTTTACATTATAGACAAAGAAAAATAACAGGATAATATCTAGGTACTTCCCCTTCAAACTTTAATCGACTATTGTGCGTGTGACATTTTCATATGTTCGCATACTAAATCTATCAAAAGAAGAATTATTATCTATTGATCAATGTCATAGGTTTTTTACATTTTCTTGAATAACACATCAAAGTTTAGTTAAATCTTAAATTGCATTTCGTACATGTTGTCGAGCATTTTTTTTTACGTGATACTGTATCAAGTTTCTTTTACAGCATCTTAAATGATTTTTTCATATTCTTTTAAGACTATTATTTGTAAATGAAGACGCTATATTTAAAAATAAAAAAAAACTTCTTGTTATGATTGTAATAGTTTTGCTTTTCTTCGTGTTGTTTTTACCAATTGCTATCACATTGTCGTAGGTAGTTGCATCATATATGCCTTCTTCTACTGTTTGCAGATGTTTTAATCGTACTTATAAACTTATGTTAATTCATCCATGTCAGCGATATTAACTGACCATGCTTCGAAATGAATGTATATGATCTTGTCACCAATGTTTTTGATGCCATTGTAATAATTTTGCCGAAGATGTGTTTGAAAATCGATTAAGTGAAATCGAGATATTAATTTGTCTTGAAATTCATTTCAAAATCAAGATCGGTAGTTTATTGTCTTGAATCCATCGGTCAGCAATAACTTCTTCTAGTTCTGTGAACCCTGCAACAATATTTCCTTCATTGGTTTCATTGTATTCTTTTGATTTAACATTGATCTGCTTAACTAGGGTGTGGGTGTAGTGTGGGACAATGAAGACACCATCCATGTTCACATCCTAACTCACGCACACACTCATTCTGATTCTCGATCAATGCCATAACTATTGTTAGGCTCTCTTCATCGATTGAATAGCGATAGAAAGCTTTTTTCAAAATTTTCAACCCATATTTTAAGATTCAACAATAAACTAT